TGTTTTTCTTCTTAAATTTTATTACTTTTTAAAATTTTATGTGTATTCGTGTATTGCCTGCATGTAGGTTTAAGTGCACCCGTGTTGTGCAATGCCCAAGGAGGTCAGAACAGTCTGTTGGATTCTCTGGGACTGGAGTTACAGACAGTTGTTAGCTGCCATGTGGGTGCTGGGATTCGAACCCAGGTCTTCTGCAAGAACAATCAGTGTTCTTAACTGCTGAGCCATCTCTCCAGCCCTCAACTCTATTTTTATATTTTATTTATTTTATCTGTGTGAGTATATTGCCTGTATGTAAGTGCATCCATGTCATGTAGTGCTTGAGGAGGCCAGAAGAGGGTGTCAAATCCCCTGGAGCTGGAGTTATAGGCAGTTGTTAGGGGTGCTGAGTTTCAAACCTGGGTTCTCTCCAAGAGCAGCCAGTGCTCTGAAACCACTGATCCATCTCTCCAGCCCATTTTTTTTGTTGTTTGTTTGTTTTGTTTTTTTGTTTTTTTTGGTCTTTTTGAGGCAGGGTCTCCCTGTAGCCCCAGCTGTCCTGGAACTCACTATGTAGACCAGGCTGCCTCGAACTCACAAAGATCTGCCTCTGCCTCCCAAGTGCTGGGATTAAAGGCGTGCGCCAACACACCTGGCCTTTGTTTTTGTTTTTAAGACAGAGAGTCTCCCTGTAACCCTAGCTGGCCTGGTACTCACTATATAGCCAGGAAGACTTCAAACTCACAGAAATCCACCTGCCTCTGCCTCCTGAGTGCTAGGATTAAAGACGTCTCACCATGCCTGCCTATTTATATGTATTTTCAGACGGGTCTCATATAGCCCAAGTTGGCCTCAAACTCACTATGTGGCCGAGGATGACCTTGAACTCCTGATTTTCCAGAATGCTGGGGTGTAATGTGATGCTGGGATGGAACTCACAGTCCATGGATGCTAGGCATATATTCTACCAACTCTTTGTTTGGTGTTTTAGTTTATTCTGAGAGAGGGTCTCCCCTGTAGCCCCAGCTGGCCTGGAACTATGTAGACGACTGGCCTCAATCTCATAGAGATCTACTGGGATTAAAGTTTCGGCCTGCCATGCCTGGCTAGGTTTTTTGTTTTTTTGTTTGTTGTTTGTTTTTTGAGACAGGTCCTATGTAGCCTAGACTGGTCTCCAACTCATTTATGCAGTTGAGGATGACCTGGAATTTGTGATTCTCCTACCTCTACCACCTGAACCATCAGTCAAGAGTTATTCATTGAGGGGCTGGGGAAACAGGTGTGAGGTTAAGAGCACTGGCTGGCTGGTTGTGTAGAGGACCCAGGTTTGATTCCCAGCACATACATGGTGGCTATCAACCATTCATAAGTCCTGTTTCAGGGGTCTGATGCCTTCTTCTGGTCTCCGAGGGCATTGCACACACATGGCTTCCTTCTATGCAGGCAAAGCACTAATACACATAAAGTAAAATAATCAAAAGAAAAAAATCTAAATAAATAATGAAGAAATACATAAAAATTGAAAAATAGTTATTCATTCAAAGCGCTCACTTTACTTTTATGAGCTCCTATGTTTCCTACATCTTCCAAGCCATCTGTGTGCTGTGTGACCTGGAGCTTGACCTGCTGGTACTACAGTTTCCTGCAATCAAGGACCCCTTGGGGAGGGGCAGGGGCTGGTTCCTTCCTCGTCTCTATTGCTTATCTGTTCTGCCCAGTGTTGACCTCCGATCTCCTTTAGTCTCTAAGGTGGGGACCGAGGTGATTTCCCCAGACCCAGTTACTGGCAGAGCTAGGTCCCCTTGCCAGGATGGGTAGAGCATCCTTTCCCCATTCCCAGGAGTCTTTGCATCTCTGGGATGAGTAAAAAGCTATGGGTGTCAAGGCTGGTGTGTACAGCACAGCCCTACACTACATGTAGGAGGATCGGGAGTTCAAACTCGCCTTCAACTATATACCAAGCTTGAGGCTAGTTTGAGCTATAAGAAACCTTGCCTCAAAAACCAACTAACAATGGGGCTGCAGAGATGGCTCAGCAGTTAAGAGCACTGGCTGCTCTTGCAGAGGACCTAGGTTCTGTTCCCAGCACCCACATGATGGCTAAACTACCTGTAACTCCAGTTCCAGGGGATCTGATGCCCTCCTCTGGCCTCTGCAGGTTTTGCATGACATGGGTGCACTTACATACATACAGGCAAAACACTCATACAAATATAAAATAAATAAAATCTTAGAAAATTTAAAAGAAAGAAAGGCATTGAGGGTGGGGAGATAGCTTAGTTGTGAAAGGATATCATAGAAATGTAAGAACCTGTGTTTGATCACCAGGACCCAGGTAAAATAAGGTTACTGTGGGCCAGCCAGATGGCTCAGTGGGTAAAGGAGCTTGCTACACAAACATGGTAATCAGAGTTTGATCCCTGGAAGTCACAAAAAGGAGGAAGGAGAGAACTGACTCCACAAAGTTGTCCTCTGACTTCTACACATGCTCTGTGGCACACATATTGCTCACATATCTCATCTGTCTGTCTCTGTCTCTGTATCTCTGTCTCTCTGTCTCTGTATCTCTGTCTCTGTCTCTGTCTCTCTCTCTCTCTCTCTCTCTCTCTCACACACACACACACAAAGACACAGGGTGTTCCAGCCTTTAGGAGGTAGAGACACTTTGATCCTTGGGGCTTGCTGGCTAGCCAGCCTAGTCGAATTTGTGAATTCCAAGCCAGTGAGAGGCACTTGCTGTCAAGCCTGACAACCTGGTTTCCATCCCCGGGACCCACATGGTTGAACTATTGAACCCATTCCTGCAAGTTGCCCTCTGACCTCCACATGCACAGTGCTGTGACACATGTAGACACACAGACACAGACACACACAAATAAGCAAATACAATTTTTAAATTAATTTTTTTATTTTATGAGTGTTTTGCCTGCATGCATGTACGAGCACCTGTGTATGCAATACCTGCAGAAGCCAGAAGAGGGTGCTTTAGGACTAGAGTTACAGATGGTTGTTAAACACTATGTAGGTACTGGGAACCCGGGTCCTCTGAAAGAGTAGCCAGTGCTCTTAACCACTGAGCCAGCTCTCCTCTCCAGACCCCAAATCAATACACTTTAATAATAAAAAACTTAAAAGCAATATGGATGGCACCTGAGGAACTAGAACCTGAGGTTGAGCTCTAGCTTTCACATGCACACACACACACCTGGCCTTGGGTGTCCCCTCAGGATGTCTTTCCTGTTAAAGGGCGAGCCTTCCTATCTGTCAGTTGTCTACTCCAGTTCATGTCCACCGGTGCCTCAGTTTCCCCCCAACCTGCCTTTCTACTTTGCCTATCACAACCTGAAGCTGATAAACAGGAGTCAGCTACAAGAGCCATCCAAAAAGATCCCCCTCACAGACAGAAGGAGAGAGCGGCTGGGCCTCCCCAACCAGGCCTCCTCCTTGCCCAGCTCCCTGAAGAGCAGGAACACACGGCCCTGGGGAAGGAAGTGGGTCTAGGTGGCTTTAAGCTCCATTGGATGCTCAGATACAAACAACGAATGATCAAAGATACCAGAGCTAAAAGCAGGGGCCACAGGCCAGGGTAAGCCCCTGCCAAGCCCTCCTCCAAACCTTGATCATCTCTTTCCATTCTTACTTCCTATCTAGAGGTTCCTTGAGGACCACAAAAATACTGCCTGCCCAAAGCCTGTTCCTATTGCCTAGGGCTAGGTAGTTTTGACCCTAGTCCTTGTGTGAGGTTTGTATAGTTGGAATCAAGAATCTGAGAGAGCCAGGTGAAGTGGTGCACATCTGTAGTCCCAGCACTCAAGAGAGGTGGAGGAAGGAGGATCATAAGTTCAAGGTTATCCTCAGCTTTATAGTGAGTTCAGTGTTAGCCTGGGCTATATAAGATCCTGTAGGGGGAAAAAAAGCCACATATGGTGGCACACACCTTTAGTCCCAGTACTCAGGAGGCAGAGGCAGGCCAGTCAGGGCCACACAGTGAGACCTTGTCTCAAAAAATCCAAAATAAAATAAAAGTAATAGATTAAGGACAGCAAAATGGCTCAGTGGGTAAAGGTACTTGCTACCAAGCCTGACAAGCTGAGTTCAATCCCTAGAAATGACATGGTGGAAATAGAGAACCAACTCTCAAAAGTTGTCCTCTGACCTCCACACATGCACACACTCACACACACACACACACAAATAAATAAATGTAATTAAAAAAATTAAACTTAGCTAGGCATGGTGGTGCACGGCTTTGGCCCAGCATTTGGGAGGCAGAGGCAGAACTCTCTGTGAGTTCAAGGCCAGCCTGGTCTATATAGTGAGTTCCAGGCCAGCTGGGGATATAGGGAGTCCTGTCTCACAAAGACAAAAACAAAGCAGAAAAGCTGGGTGTGGTGGTGCACGCCTTTAGTCCCAGCATTTGGGAGGCAGAGGCAGGCAGATCTCTGTGAGTTCAAGGCCAGCCTGGTCTACATAGTGAGATCCAGGCCAGCTGGGGTTACAGGGAGACCGTCTCAAAAAGACCCCCCCCAAAAAAAAAACCAAACAAAAAAAAACAGAAAAAGAAAACCAAACCAACTTTGAGGAGGAAGATCTATTTTGGCTTATGGCTTCAGATGCTGCACTCCACAGGTACCTGGCTGGCATGGAACTCCCTATGTAGATCAGGCTAGCCTTGAACTCAAGAGATCCACCTGCCTCTGCCTCTCAAGTCCTGGGAGTAAAGGCATTTGCATAGGAGAGTTCTTAGATGTCTACTCATTCCTCATAGGGTCCCAATTCAAACCAAAGTTCAATCCTTTCAAAGATGCCCCCAAAGAACCAATGAATTTATTAAGCTTACTTGCAGAACATGTTTGAGGGGTTACTGACAGGGCCATAACAGCACTGGAAAGTCTTCGCCTAGCATGGATGATGACTCCCCCATAGTCACAAAGATGGAGCCCCATCCCTAGTCTTCCCAGCCTAAGAACTCTAGCCCTCCCCAGACCTTTGAGGCCACATGCAACTAGGACAGAGCTGCATGCAAATTGTTGGTAGGAGGGGCCAGATGCTCAGGTGAGGGCCACATGACCCTGCCCACCTCCTCCTTCTATGAAGGAGTAGGACAGTGAACAAGCCCAGCTGGGATCTTTGCAAAGCAGCTACAGCTGAGGTCAAGAAGATGGTGGCTGTTTTGTTCTAAGGCACACATCCTGCCACACAGCCCCACCTTTTAAACTTTCTACAACCTCCCAAATAGTGCCAATGATGGGATGGAGTGTTCACAACCAGCGCTTCGGGACTTCTAAAAGTTTGATTTTTGCCGGGCATGGTGGCGCACGCCTTTAGTCCTAACACTCAGGAGGCAGAGACAGGTGGATCTCTGTGAGTTCAAGGCCAGCCTGGTCTACATAGTGAGTTCCAGGCCAGCTGGGGCTACAGGGAGACCCTGTCTCAAAGACAAAAGAAAAAAATTTTATGAGTGTTTTGCCTGTATGTATGTAAGCACACCCATGTGTGTAATGCCCAATGAGGCCAGAAGAGGGTGTTGGATCCTCTGGGACGGGAGCTAAGGATGGATCTGCCATGTGGGTGCTGGGAACTGAACTTGGGTCCTCTGGAAGAGCAGCTGGTGCTCTTAATCATTGAGCCAACTTGCCAGCCCCAATGTGGTTCACTCTTGTGTCTGACTGACTATATATACTACTCCATGTGTCCTTCACCACCCAAAAGAGGAACACCCATCACCTTGGGCTGGGACAGATGCGGAGGGACATACAGGGTGGGAGTCGCACATCAGCTCTGAGCAGCTCAACCTTCATCACACTGTTAACAGCAATAACAAGAATCACTTCTGGGGCCAGCAAGATGGCTCAACGTGTAAAGGGGCTTGCTGCCAAGTCTCATGACCTGAGTTTGATCCCAGAACCCACATGGTGGACAGAGAGAACCAACCAATTCCTCCAAATTGTCCTTCAAAAGCACTCCATGGTGCATGCATGCACACATGTGCACACACACAATAAACATAAAAGAAATAAATATAGAATCACTTCTGAGATTTTCCTTTATTTGGGATCCAGTCAAGCCTGTCTGAAGAAGGACTGGAGACAGAGGTTAGGGGACCCATGAGCAAAGTGCTCTGGCTTTCTCCTAGGATCCCTGAGAGGTGGAGACTTCCAAAGTACTCCACCCTTGGAGAAACGGAGGCAGAATTGGCTTGGATGGATGAAGAAGGGCTTACGCTTCCTGAGTCTGACTTAAGTGGGGGTCCAGGGACACCCCACATCTGCCACACAGCCTCTTGGGCTGGACACTTTTCCTGGGAACCAGCCAGCAACTGGAGCAACGGGTTCCATATTTCTTATACCTGGAGGTGGGGTAACAAGAAACTACCATTTAGGACACAGTGAGGATGGGGGGAAGGCTAAAAACTGACAGAAGGGAACCATTTTCCTCAAAAGATGGCTGTTTTTCTTTACTCCACACTGACTGAGCACAGATTGATTGGGACCCCACCCCCACCCCCAACATCTCCAGGTTAAGGACCTGATACCACAGGCATTGCAGAGGGGTGTCCCGTCTTCAGCATCTCTCCACAGTGGGGTCCTCTGGGTCCTACAGGATGCACAGCTCCGGGGCCCTGAAGGGTTGGAAGTCAAAGGCCAGAATTCTAGATTTGAGTGGGGTGGAGAATTTGGGGGGAGGTCTCTGTGAAGTCCTAAGTGGCTCTGAGCCAGCCTTGGGTGTTGTCACATCGAAGACAGAGAGTGAGCCAGGAACAGAGACAGATGGTGAGGCTCTGCTGAGGAGGAAGCTGGGGGTGGGGGATGACTCAGTGAAGGGAGGGGCAGCTCCTCTAAACAGGTCTAAATGAGGAATTGGGATGAAGACAAGGGAGGATGGAAAAATGGGTACCCTCAAGATATTTCTAGCTCAACTTACCTAGGGCCTCACTGCCTCCTGGGCTGGGCTCAGGGGCCCTGGTAGGGCTTGTGGAGGACTTTTGAGAATAGCTGTCACCAGGCAAGCTGCAAAAAGACCAAGAGTACTGTTGGGGGTTTACAAGATAGCCCCCAAATCAAACTGTCCCCTAACAGTACTGTGGATTGAATCCAGGGCCTCACACAGAGCAGGCAATTGTTCCTCCTGAACTACATCTCTAGCCCTTTTACTTTTAAGACACAGACTCAGTGTCTGGCTTTGAACTCACTATGCAGCCCAGACTGGCCTTGAATTTACTGTGCAGCTCAGGCTGGACTTGAATTTGTGATCCCTTAGCCTCAACCTCCTGAGTGCAAAGATCACAGGTGTGTGCCATCATGCCTGGTTGCAAATGCAGACAGGATCTCATGTAGCCCAGGCTGAACTTATTAGTGGGATGATGTTGAATTTCTGGTACCCCCGGCTCCACTTCTAAAATACTGAGACTGGGGGATGGGGATGGGGGCTGGAGAGCTGGCTCAGCTGTTAAGAGGACTGGCTGCTTTTGCAGAGGAACAGGATTCAGTTCCCAACACCCATATGGTGGCTGACAACTGTCTATAACTCCAGTTCAGAGGATCTGATTACTTTGTCCAGCTTCTTCTGCATTGCACAGATGTGGTATGCTTACATACATGCATTCAAAACACTAATCCATTAAATAAATGAACAGATACATAGATAAAAATACTGAGCTGATCTGCGTGTGCCTTCCCTATCCTGATTTATGTGGAAGTAGGGATGGAACCCAGGGCTTCATACATGTTAGGCACACACTCTACCCACTGAGCCTGAGTTCCAGTCCCCAATAAGATTTCTTATCAAGGTTATCAGGCACCTCACCAATTAAGGATCTGATGTCTGAAAGGCCTGGCTACATGTCCCACTAGCAGCAATAATAATTAACATTGTTAAGCCAGGTATGTTACATGCTTATAATCCCAGTCATAGTGAGAGGCTGAGGCAGGAGGATGACAAGTTCTAGGCAAGCCTAAACTACATAGTGAGAGCCCTGTCTCAAAAAAACCACAATATGGGCCAAGTGTGGTAGCACACACCTTTAATCTCAGTACTCTGGAGGCAGAGGCAGGGAGAGCTCTGTGAGATCTAGGCCAACCTGGTCTATATAGTGAGCTCCCCGCCAGCTGGGGCTACAGGGACCCTGTCTCAAAACAAAACAAAACAAAAACCAAAGGGGGAAAAAATGTGGGTGCAGCAGGGTGTGTGTAGGTGCTAAGCAAACACTCTTTTCCCCTTAGTTTTGATTATATTGATTTTTGTGTGTGTAGCTGTATGCTTGCACATATGCCACAGGGTTTACTTGAGGAGGTCAGAGGACAACCTGCAGGATTCAGGTCTCTCCCTTCAGCTTGTGGGTCCTTGGGATTGAACTCGGGTCGTCAGGCTTGGCAGCAAGCACCTTTATGGGCTCAGCTGTTTTGCCAGCCCATATATATTTCTGTATAAATTTTGAGATAAGCTTTTACTCTGAAGCCCAGGCTAGCTAGCCTCAAAGTCAAGATCCTCTTGCTTCAGCCTCCTGAGTGTTGGGATTACACGGTTTTGAATTTTGGGTGTTTTTTGTTGTTTTCTTCTTTGTGATGGGTTTGCTAGTAGCCAGGCTGGCCTTGAACATGAGATCCTCCTGCCTCAGACTTCTCAGAGCTGACACTGCAGCTACGCCACTCCACACTAGGCTCTTTGCCCTCTTTTTACTTTTTAGAAAATTATTTATTTCAATTTTGTGTGTATGTGTGCTTTGACTGCCTGCAAGTGCACCTGAGCATGCAATGCCCACAGAGGCCAGGAGAGGGCGTTGGATTCCTGGAATTGGAGTTACAGATGGTTGTTAGGCACCATGTGGGTGCTGGAAACTGAACCCAGGTTCTCTGAGAGAACAGCCAGTGCTCGTAACTGCTGAGCCAGCTCTCCAGTCCCCTCCTCTTTTCATTTTTAATCTTGAGACAAGGTCTCCACTAAGTTTGGGGTCTGGCTTTGAACTCACTCAGTATCTCAGGCTGGCCTGGAATTTTCCATCCTCCTCCCTTAGCCTCCCAAGTAGCCATGATGACAGGTATCTACTACCAGGCCTGGCCTATTACCACTAAGTTATCTTTATTGGATTATTGTTGCCCATCAGCCCCTACCTGTAAGTGGACACAATCTGGAGGCTAGAATCTGGCTGTATCCGGAACTCCAGAGTCACCCCTTTAAACCTGGGGTCCATTTTTTCCATGCCCATGCAGGGGCTTGGCTGCTTTCGAGGTCTTCTCCGGGACAAGGCCGTAGAAGCAATACCAGAAGAGTCCAGGCCTGGGCACTGCATACTCTTGGGATTCCTGGCCTTATTTAGGGGTTCTGACATCCCTAAGACCATCAGCTCCCAACAGGGCCCCAGGGCCTCAACAGCAGAAGAGGGGAATCCAGTGTGCGCCTCTTCTTTCTCTTGGTGGTAAGGCAAGGCGGTGGTGGCTGAGTCGGGGCACCCAGGCCACGGGGACCTGAGGACAAGAGGCAGTGAGGTATGGTTCCCCCACTCCCCCCTTAGGAAATGTTTGCCCCACCTGGGACACAGAATCTGGGGTTAAAAGGCTTAAAAGTTGCAAAGTAATTGTTCACAGAGCCTACTTCCCTCTGGGACTGGCTGTCAGTAATGAAGGCCACCCAGAAACAAAGCAGGGACCCACCCTAGGCACTCTGCCCAACCTAAGCTGGGGTCTGCAACAATCATTCAACAATTACCCCCAGACATTGTTAGTTAACCCCCATAACTCCATCGATGACCCCTAAGTAGCACAGTCTTGGGCCACACAGCCAGGGCTGCAGTGTGTGTGAGGGGGGATGAACATCACCCTGACCTCAGATGACCTCCCGTGCCTGGGGGACTTAAACTTCTTGTTTAATTAAGTACAGTAACTAACATAGGAGACTTGTGGAAAACGGTGGGTCATGACCCCTGGGTCTCCTGGCCTGGTGTAGGACATCAGTTGGGGTGGGTAGTAAGGGGAGGTGAAGTCGTGCCCAACACACCTGCCATTGGGAGCGAGGCATCTCAGGGCTGCAGGTTCCTTCTGTGTGGGAGGTTGGTCCTTCGGTGGTGACTCTGAGTCCCGATAGGGCTGCGTCAGAAGCTCTGGTAGATGCATCAAGCCGCGGGCTGGTTGGGCCTCCATGGCCACCCTAGTCTCGCCGCCCCGCCCCCAAGGATAGACCCTAGGACTGTGGTGGTGGTGGTGAGGATGATGAAGCCTGATGGGCGCCAGTTGGGCGGGGCCGGCCCACGCAGGCCACGTGAGGGCGTGCCTTGCACCTGGGGCGCTAGTTGCAGTGGATGCCAGGAAGCTCATAGCTGCGGGGTCAGCGGGGTCTCCCTCAAGGGCTCCTCTTCTTTCCAGACCACTTTTGATCGCTGGGCACAGCCCACAAAATCAAAAGCCCAACATGGACTCCTTTAGGCCCTTTCGCTGCGGCCGGGGTGGGGCCTGGCCACACGGGGCGTCTCCAGGAAGATGGGTGGCCTGGCTTCTGCCTGGGATGGTGGTGACACCCAGGGTCCCCCCCCCCATCATGGAGCTGGCCAGATCTGGCCCCCAAGGACACTCAACATGCCACTGGTCTGCATGACATTTTATTGCAGCTCTGATGTGAGTCCATCTCTAGTTAACAGTCTACCTTTTGCACTGGGTGGACTCACCCCAGGGAGGAGACCCTGTCGCCATCCAAGCTTAAACCCTGGCTGTCTCTCAAGCTGGGGCTCTGGTCTCTCACAGTGATTCCAACACCTCTGTGTGTGTTCTGGGGCTGGAATCCTGGCTCTTCTAAGATCTGGGGCCCAGGGGTAGGGGTTAGGGTGGAAAGGCCCTGGTGGTGGCTCCAGTGGCCCCATTTCAGTGAGACTTGGGGACATGGCCATCCACGTAGAAGTTCCTGGTGACCTTGGGTAGGGTGAACTCAACCCCTTCTAGTTCTGGGGTCAGCACGATCTGGCAGCCCAGCCTTGAGTTCTCCTGGAGCAATGGGGCCATGTCCAACATGTCGTCCTCCCTGGGACACAGGAAGGCAGGCATCAGGGCAGTAGGGAGCTTTCGGCTCAAGGGGTGTTGGCAGAGGGCAGGCTGCGCTTCCAGTAGCTGGAGGAGGTGGACCAGCCTGGGATACAGGAAGCCGAGGGATGCAGCTCAAAGTCCCAGATGGGGCTGCCCTGCTCACCTCTCCTCTGGAGGAGGTAGGAGATCCAGGTGGGCTTCACTCACGTACAGATGACAGGTGGAACACGCAAGGGAGGCTTCGCAGGCCCCTGGGGACAGGAAAGGAAGGGCAGTTTCTGCAGGGTCAGCCTCTATCCCAGGTCTGCAGCCCCAGCCTTCACCAGCCCAAAGGCTCTGCCTTTCCCTTGTTTGAGACAGTCTGATGTAGCTCAGGTTGGCTTCTGACTCACTATGAAGCCGAGGATGCCGTTGACCTCCTGCCTCCACCTCCCAATTGCTGAGGTTACAGGCATGCACCACTGATGTACCTCTCAATACACCAAGTTCATTCCCAACTTGGGGGGGCCTCTTCCAGCTGCTGTGCCCATGACTTGGAAGGTTCTACACTCTTTCCATGGCTGAATCCAAGGGCTCAACCCAACTGTTTCCCAATTTCCTTACTTTCTATCACCCCTATTTATTTTGTGAAGTATTTATGACCATACCAAAAAAATATTTTTTTTAATGATATTGGGAGGTGAATCTCTTTGAGTTTAAGGCCAGCCTGGTCTACATAGCAAGTTCCAGGTCAGCTGCGGCTGCAGGGAGACCCTGTCTCTAGGCCTGGCAAGGAAAGGCTCTATCATAGTGCACGCCTTTAATCCCAACATTTGGGAGGCAGAGGCAGGTGGATCTCTGTGAGCTTGAGGCCAGCCTGATCTATATAGCAAGTTCCAGGTCAGCTGGGGCTACAGGGAGACCCTGTCACAAAAAAGACCAAAAGCAAAAACAAAGAAAAAAATTATATGTATATTTAAAAATTCTGAGGGTGTTGGAGCCCCTGGAACTGGAGTTATAGACATGCTACCATATGGGTGCTGCAAGAGCAGCCAGTGCTCTTAACTGCTGAATCAGCTCTCCAGCCCCCAAAATAAAATTTTGAGACAGGGTCTTTCACTAAGTGACCCAGGCTGGCTTTGAATTCACACTGCAGCTCAGACATAACTTGAACCTTCCTTTTTGAAAAACAAAAATGTCTTTTTTTCTTGAGGTCTCATTATGGATCCCTGGGTTGGCCTGGAACTCAAAAGATCCATCTGTCTCTGCCTTCTGACAGCTGGAAGTAGGAGCTCCCCATCTCGCAGCCTGAAAAGTTGAACACTGGGTGTGTATGCACATGGCAAAGCCTAAGTGTGAGGTCAGACTCCCTGTGCCATGCTGGGTTTCAAATTCATGTCAGGCTTGGCAGCAGGCAGCTTTACCCACTGAGCTATCTTGCCTGCCCAGAACTTTGTGTTCTTCTGCCTAGCCTCCCAAGTAGCTAGGGTCAGAAGCCCGAGTTACCAGTCTCACTTGTTTTGCTTGTTTTAGACTGGGTCTATGTTGCCCAGGTTGGTCTTAAATTCCTTGGCTCGAGAGATCCCCTGACTCGGGTTCTCCAGTAAGGGCCTGGCACAAGGGCTGGCAAGAGGGCTGAGTCGGTAAGGGGCTTGTTGCAAAACCTGATAACCTGAATTTGAGTCACTGGAACCATACAAATTGCTGACCTCCAAAGGTACACACACACACACTAAATGTAATTAAAAAATAAAGCTAGGCACAGGTGGTGTATACATTTAATCTCAGCACTCATAAGGCAGAGAGAGAGCTGGCTCAGTGGTTAAGAGCACTGGCTGCTCTTGCAGAGGATCTGGGTTCAGTTCGTTTCCAACCATCCACATGGTAGCTAATGTCTTTAATGTCTGCAACTACAGTTTCAGGGGATCCAACGCCCTCTTCTGGCTTCTGTGGGCACTGTACAACATGGATGCTCTTACATACAGGCAAAAGAGTCATGAACATAAAACTAAAATAAATCAAAATTAGAAAAACAAAAATAAAAGTAAAAAAAAACAAAACCAACTAATCAATATTCGCACAGGGGCAGCACAAGAGGGCTAAAATGCCCAACATTTGAATCTAGTTTTGCCATGAGATTCTTAACTGTGTGGACCAGGTCCAATGTCAGGTGGGTCTCAGTCTGTTGCTATGTCAAGTGGACTTACTGTTTTCTCTATTTATAAAGCTGTCCTGAGAACCCAGCACATGAGGATGTCATTAGGTGCTTGAAGTGATTTCTTTATCTGACACATACAAACCTCACACCTGTTATGTCTAAGTAGATGGGAGGCCCACCCAGGGACAGACATCAGAAGGAAACAAAATGTCCTGAGGGTGGTGAGACACACTGACAGGGACTGGCATGGAGTCCTGGGCTGAAGGGGATGGGACTCCAGTTCCTGGGATCTGATGTCCTCTTCTGGCCTCTGCAGGCATTGCAGGATATAGGTACACATGAGTTAAAGAGACCCTGTCTCAATACATGCAGTCAAAATCCTCATAACAAAATGTTTATTATTATTGTTGTGTGTATGCCTGAAGGCACGTACCATAGTTTGTGTGTGGGTGTCACAGGACAACTCCTTCCACCTTTATGTGCGACTAAAGTCATTGGGCTTGGTCGTCAAGCAACCTACCCTGGAGTCATTTCAGCTGCCTGAAATCTGAATCATAGCATGTATCTGGTGGCAAATCCAGGGGTGGGTAATCAGGGGAAACACAGATTTGTGACATTGTAAAAGGTCAAGCTGGCTCACACCTGTAATTCCACCACTCAGGAGGTCAAGGCAGGAGGACTGCTTCAGTGGGTTTGAAACCAAATTACTGAGACCCTATTTCACCCCCGCCCCTGCCCCTCTCCATACAAAAGGGCATGGTGATATGGTGACACATATCTGGAGTCCCAGGACTCAGGATGTGGGGGCAGGAGGATCACTGTAATGGGATGAGTCTAGCCTGGGCTACACAGCTGAATTCCAGGACAATCTAAGTTATAGAGACCATGCCCCCATACACCTCCTCACAAAAGGGCACAGTGAAATGGTGGTGGCACAGGCCTGAAGTTTCAGGCCTTAAGAGGTGGAGGCACACTGTAGTAGGCTCAAGGCTAGCCTGGGCTACATACAGAGTTCCAGGACAACAGTGAATTAGAGACTCTGTTCTACTGTCCCACCCTGGCCCCCACAGAATAAAACAGGAAAAAAAAATGGGTATGGTGGTGTACAAATGCACACCTGTTATGGCAGCACTGGGCACATGAGGCAGGAGATCGGGAGTTTAGGTCATACTTGGCTACATAACAAGTTTGAGGCCAGCCTGGGCTACATGATACATGAGACCCTATCTCAAAAAGTCCCAAAAGAAATCCAGGGGAAAGAGAGTGAGGGCCTCCTCGATTCCCTGGGTCTGGGCGCCGGTTTCCTACCTTCCAGGTCCACCCCGTGGCGCTGGGCCAGGTGCAGAACATTGTCGCCAACTCTGCCTGTCACTGGGATGCGTCTGCCGGAGCGGTCCACGAACACTACGTTCACTCTGGGGACAGAGGCGGTGGGAAGAGGGGATGCGGGATGAGGGATGGGGTGATGCGGTTGCTGAGCGGGGAGGTGAATAAGGGGCCGCGCAGGGTTTAGAGGGATGGGAACCCGAACGCCCGGGTTGGTGGATTCGGGCGGCCGCACTCACGCGGGTCGCGGCTGCTCGGGGCCGCAGTCCTGGTCCTCAGCTGCGCGGTGCGCGCCTAGAAAACACAAGGTGGGTGAGCGCCCGCCGGATCCCGCCGGATCCCGCCGCCGGCGCTCGGGTACCTGTGGTCCGGATGGTTCTGGATCCCATCGCCCACCGCCCGGTCCGCAGCCCCCAGGAGCCCCCGGCCGCCCGCAGCAGGGACCGCGCGCTCACACCGCCACGGGCCGTGGAGGCGGCCATGACAGGCCACGTGACCGGAAGGCCCCGGCTCACCGGGTCCCGAAGTCCTGAAGATGCCGGTTTGGTGGTCCTGAAGGCAGCACCTACGCGGCCCATTCTTTTTTTTTTTTTAACTTTAATTTTTGAGATAGGGTCTCACTATGCAGCCCTGGAACTCGCTATGTAGATCTGAGCTCACAGACCTGCCTGTTCCTCCATATCCAACCTTTAAAAATTCATGCTTTTAGCCGGGTGTGGTGGTACACACCTTTAATCCCAGCACTTGGGAGGCTGAGGCAGGGGAATCTGGTCTACATACATAGCAAGTTCCAGGCCTGCTGGAGCTACAGGAAGACCCTGTCTCGAAAAGACCAAAAAAAAAGAAAAAGTACCTCTGACAGAGAATCAAGGACTCCCGTTCCTATGGTATAACCTGGCTCAGGCATGCCCAAATGCAACACAGTAGGCCCTCTTTGATTAAAGTGATCCCACCTCCTTACAGAGTTGCCAAGAGTTCAAGGTTGAGTTTCTGGGCATGGTGGTGCACACCTTTAATCCCAGCACTTGGGAGGCAGAGGCAGGTGGATCTTTGTGAGTTCCAGGCCAGCCTGGTCTACATAATGTGTTCCAGGCCAGCTGGGGCTACAGGGAGACCCTGTCTCAAAAAGAAAAAAAAAAAAACCATGCTTTTAATCCCAAAACCCTGAGGTAGAAGCAGGTGGATCTGAGCGGTCAGGTCAGCCTGGTCCACAGTTCCAAGCCAGGCATTGTTTCAAGAAAATATAAAAACAAAATTAGTTACTCCTGATCTGATTCCTATATGTCTTGTTTGGTTCACAATAAACGTGCACTGGCATCTAAAAAAAAAAAACACCACAAAATTATTGTATTTATTTTGTATTTTTGGGTACATGCATGTCACAGCACGTATGGAGGTCAGAACAATTTGAGGGAGTCGTTCTGGGGATCTAACTCAGGTTGTCATGCTTAGTAACAAGCTTCACCTACTAAGCCACCTTGTTGGCCCCAGACCCAATGGTTTGTCCCAAGAACCAGCCAGCTCAGATTTCTTTAAAACCGTTTAATTACAAACTTTAATTCAGCAGAGGTCTGTGTGGGAGAAGTGGGGAGAGGACAACACCCCAGGAGAAGTGGTGGGCCATCAGGGTTGAGGGAGGGGAGCTGGTGGCTCAGCAGGCTAGGGGCCCAGGGTCACCTAAGGGCAGGCTGTAGAGCTTGTCTGTGGGGTGACTGGTCCCCAGCACAGGGCAGAGAGGGTGTCAGGACTGGTAATCTGGCCTGGGGATGGAGGTGGAGTTTGGGATTTGGGGGGACACAGTGGAGGCCTAGTGACATGGGTATAATGGTCAACTCTCACAGACACACAGCAGGGGAACTGTTGAAGACGGCAGAGGACACTGGTCTCCCCACCCAGGCCTGGGCTGAAGGACTGGTTTGCCAAAAGCAAGCCTTTGGCCTTCTGTAGACAGGGCGGACACCCTAGGAAGAGAGCCCCATTCCTGAGCGAGAGCTCTTTGGTCCTGACTTGAGCTTCTAGAGCTCAGAGTCTGAGAGGCTCTGGCCCAGTAGGACCTATGGCCCAACTTTAAGGCATCAGAAGGTAGGGAAGGGGCCTGGGGCTGGGGTACTGGCCAGAGGAGGCAGGCAAAGGCAGGAGACAGTCATGCCTTCTGCAACACAGGGAAAAAAGGGTTAAGCCAGTCTCATACTGCAAGTGTGGTTTGGAGGCCTAGGCAGACCTTGAAGGAGTCAGAGCTGTGTGTGCATGTGGGGGTGGGGGGAGGTGTCACCATTCTGGTAAAAAAGAATAAAAATTAGAAAGGGAAAATGAAGTCAATTGTGGAAGTTTAAAAAAGGGGGCATGGTCTCTGATCCTCACAGGAGGCCAGGGTTACCTCCAAGGCACTCGGAAGGCCGGAATTACAGGAGTGACGAGGCCGGGAGCTAGGGAGGGAGAGAGCAGGCTTGGCCCCTCTCTTAAGGCTGCAGGGTTTAGGCTCCGGGAATAGACCCACTGGCATATGGTATGGCCCCCAGAAGCCCCCACATTCCTTGGGCTCCGGCTGATTGGTCAGCAGTCTTTTCAGAGATTTCTCTATTACCCAAAGAAATTAAAAAAAAAAAAAAAAATCCCACAAAACAAACACCAGAAAAAAAAAAAAAAAAATTCCAAAGTGACTTGGTTCAGGCCCTTGGAGCATCTCTGGCGCTGACCCCTTAGAAAATCCTCTTCCGTTTCAGGTAGGAGTCTGCGTAGTGGCCACCGAGGCCTTGCGAGTGCTGGCCCACGTAGCTACCCTCCGGGCTGGGCTCGGGCGAGGGCAGCAGGTGGGCAAAGCTGCGCTTCTGGCCTCCCAGTGGGGTCTGGAGACAGAGAGCAGGGGGAGCCGGGTCAGGGGCCTCCCAGGGGTTAGGGCTCCCCAGCCCTGTGTGTCCCGATCCCCTGCCCGTACCTTCAGTAGGTGGCTATGGCCATTAGGCCCAGGGCCAAGGCCCAGGAGCCCTTCATTGGAGCCCAGTGGGGAGAAGCCAACTGCCTAGGGAAATGAAGAGGGGTGGGGTGGGTCACTGCTGGGGCCAGAGAAGGTCACAGCCCATGCTTGGGAGGACTGGGGGTGATTACAAGTTCCCTAAACCTAGGTCTTCTCATCTGTTGACTGAAAATAAGAGCACCCACACCTTAGGCCAAGTTGGGAAGTCTCACACTCCACAGACATGGCACAGAAGCACATGAGCCATTGCCACACTAGTCTGAGTAAGACTGAGCCCTGCTACCACCTAAGACATGGCTGCGGCACTGTGGATCACAGGGCCTTGGAGACACACAGGACACAGCATCTTGCCGGTCCCGGGGAACAGTTCTGGGTGGGCCAGGCTCCTCACCTTGTTGAGGTGGCTCTGCTTTAGGCCAGCCTGCAGGCCGCTGGTAAAGTAGGAGGTGGGTGAACCCGAATAAAAATGAGAGAGGTGTCCCCCACTGCCTCCACTGCTCCGCTCGTTGAAGTTGCTGGGTGGGGGGGACATCTGAAGACAGGGGAGTCAGCCAAGTAAGGAAGTAAGGAAGACAATGGTAGGGACCCAGCCCCCCAATAATTGGCTTGGCCACACTGACCTTCTAGGGAACTCTGGGACCCACAGCTACTCAAACAAATTCAGGCTGGCCTGAGGAAGGGTGAGCTTAGAGTAGATCAAACCCTCTCAGTCCAGTATCCTTCAACAGACCACTGACCACATGTGTGTGAGTGTACCTGGGAACCACCAAACCCTGGTGAGCTCCCAGAGACCCCAGGGAACCACCTATTGCCCAGCAAGAAAAAGCACTGAACAGCAAGGAATAAACATGTTTGTAGTCAGGCATGGTGGCACATGCCTGCTATCCAGTCCTTGCTAGGCTGAGGTAGGAGAACTTTTGAACCAAGAAGTTTGAAAAGTTGCCTCAACAACAACAACAACAAAAAGCAACAAAAGTCTGTGAAACTCAGCTGTGATGGCATGGCTTGTTACACAGCTAGTGCTGACTGCTGTACCTGCTTGTCGCACAGCCATTGCTAACTGCTCTGCTACACACAGGGGGTAGGACACACAGGGTGGCTTGGTTCTTACCTTGTGTCGGCTGGGTCCATGAGGTCCTGGGGCTGGCTCACGAGGGTGGGAGAAGAGCCGTCCAGGTCCCACATCCTAAATGAAAGGGACCAAAGCATGGGGGGAAGGGACTGTGTTAGCCTCATCTGGGCCGAATTCCACAGCACAGTTACCACCAGGGATCTGTGCCCCCCACTCTGGGCCTGCAGGGTTTCAGAGCAATGGTCTAGAACCACCGTAGATGTATGTTTGCCCTGGGGATGGCTGCTTTGAAGGGCCTATGTATGGCATTCAAAGTGGGGAGAGGATGAGCAGACAGCCAGGATGGTAAGCACTTTTCTCTAGGAAAAGCAGAGCCTGGGGCTGGGACTGAGTGCCGGTTTAGGACACATGAGGTACTGGGTTTCAGTCCCAGCACCACATGAACTGGGTATGGTGGCATATGCATGTCATCCCAGTTTTGTCATCTGTGTTTTGGGCCTGTGTTTGGTCACATGTGGAGGCCAGGGCCTGACAGCCAGTGTTGCTCTCCATTCTGCCCACTGAAGCAGGGTCTCACTTGTATCCAGAGCTCAGCAGTCCCTCTAGTCTAGCAAGCCATCTTGCTGCAGGATCCCGTCTTCTGCCTCACTCACACTCAGACTACAAGTGAGCTGCCAGGCTTCTCCAGCTTTTCCTTTGGTTTTAGGGATCCAAACTCTGCTCCTTACATTTTGTATGGCAAGTGCTTTACTTGCTGAGCAATTTCCCAACCTGGCATGCCTTGTTTTTTTCTATATAGCCCCAGCTGGCTTGGAACTCAGTATATAGACCAGGCTGGCCTTGATCTCACATAGTAGGAGTAGAGAGGCCTACACCATCATGCCTGGTCCACTTGGCTTTTTTTTCTTGGTCTTTTTGAGACAGGGTCTCCCTGTAGCCCCAGCTGTCCTGGAACTCACTATGTAGACCAGGCTGTCCTCGAACTCACAGAGATCCGCCTGCCTCTGCCTCCCAAGTGCTGGGACTACAGGTGTGTACCACCATGCCTGGCCACTTGGCTTTTTTATGTGCTGGGGACTCCAACTAGGGTCCTCGTGTCTGCCATCCCAGCCACATTTTACATTTTCGATGCTTGGACTAGGGATGATCATCCAGCATGGTTTGTGGATGGGCCTGGTCTTCAGAGATGAAGGACCACAGTGATCACCAGTCACCGGTCAGGGTAGGCCTGGCACAGGGCAGGTAGGTACTCACTGATGGGTAGTCGAAGCTGTAGCTGTCAGGGAGCCCTGGCTCTGGGGGCAGGCGGTTGTTGGTGAGGGGGCTGAGGAGGCGGGACTTCACCTGGAAGGCTTTGCCACCACCTCCACCTCCTCCAGGAGCTGCAGGGCTGTGCAGGGCACCCTCAGGCGGGCGTCGGCCTCTCCCAGCACCTCCCCAGCCCCGGGTCTCCTTGCCTGCCAGGTTGCCAGCTGGGAGCAGGCTGTGCAGGTTCAGGTAGGGGTTCAGGGGGATTCGGTAGTCCTTTGGGGGCTCCCCCAGCAGTGAGACCTGTGATGGGAGGGTTGGGTTTGTGAGTGCACCAGGCAGAGACAACCTGATGGGTGAGAGGCTGAGAACAGGGTGGTACCTTACCCCAAGGGGTGTTGGCAGGGGCCCACTGTCCTTCGGGAGGCCTCTGAGGCCAGAGCCTCGGAGCCCCACGGGGGCTGGGGTTGGAGTGAGCTGGGATGCCGGGGGACCCAGGCCCATGGGCTCCCGGTCACCCCCAGAGGGGCCCAGCAGCGGTGGTAGTAAAGGTTGTGGCTTCCCTCTTCGGGGTGGCAGTTCCGGGGCTAGGGCCCCCCCTACAGAAAGAAGTAAGGTGTCAGCCAACAGCCCAAACCTGAAGGACCCCTCTTCCCATGGCCCTAGGACAAAGGACAACCCTGTGCCTTAGAAACAGCTATAGACTCAAAGTTTCTTTGATCATCAGCTCCAAAGAGGTCCCCAGCTGCCCTATGAGATAGGCACCCAACCAATGGGGAAAAAGTCATAATTTACCTGCAGACAGCTCCCCAAGGAGGGAGTTGGCAGGCTGGGTCCCAGGCTGGAGGTTGCCCAGGGGCGAGTCTCCAAGGATCCCAGGCTTCTGAAACAAAGCACAAGTCAGATGGAGGTGGAGATGGTGTGGTGTGGGTAGCAAAGGCCACCCAGAATCCTAGTGGTCACAATGCCCAGCACCCCAAATCCAGCCCAGAGCCAATCAGGCAAACATACACCATGTGTCCCCACCCCCAGGCTGTGGCACCACTCATCAGCCGGGGTTCCTGTATGTAGGCCCTGTCCTATGCACTGAGGACGCACAAGGAACACTACATGTATCAGGACCAGAGCTGGAGAACTGGCTCAGTGGTTAAGAGCACTGGCTATTCTTGCAGAGGACCTGGATTCCCAGCACCCATATGGCAGCTAACAACTGTAATTCCAGTTCCAGGGAATCTGAGGCCCTCTTCTGGCCTCCAAGGCCACTGCCCACATGTACATACTTACATACATGCAGGCAAAACAATTAATTAATTAATTAGGGCCATTACCTCACAATTCCCACCATCAACGTACAGTGACAGTCTGAAGAACAGTGCTGATCATGGGTGACTGCACCCCAGCTGCACTGGGTGGGACTTTAGTCTTTGGGAGTCTAAAGAGATGGCCACCAAAGCCAGGTCTCCCCTCAACAGAGGAGCACACCCTGATACAAGGGGTGGCCGGCTGTGTCCTACAGCTCCTTGCTGAGCCACTGACTCTATGATCCCCTCTGGAAATACAAGATGGGGCTGTGAGAGGGAGCTGATGGGAGCTCACGCATGCCCAGGGTTTACCTTTTGGTTTTGGCTCTGCAGGGCTAGTTGTAGTAGTGCAGTAGACAGGGCGGGTCCATTAAGCAGGGGCATGGCTGGGGGAGCACCCAGGAGGCCTGGAAGGAAAAATGAACTGGGTTGGAGGTCCCCCGATGAGACACCCCACAAACCCACTATTCAACACAACCTCAAGCCTGCTGATGGGGGGGAAGGAACCCAAGTTCTCAGACAGTAAAGGATATGCCTATCTGGTGTAAGCTCTGCTTCCTTGGGGACCTTCACAGTCACTGAAGGACTATGGCATGGGGTCCCCAAGGTGACCCCAAGTGACATAGTCACTGAAGTGGGAGGGGTGGCCCCTGCATGGGTACCCTAGCAGTCTTACGTGGTGGGCCTTACCCTGCTTGCCACTGGCACCTCCATGCAGTAGAGGGTTCAAGAGCAGCTGGAGCGAGGCAGATGGGCCCAGGTTGTTTAGTAGCTGCAGGATGTTGGGCTCAGGCAGGAGTCCCTTACCTCGATTGAGGGCCTAAGGAGGGGACCAGAGGGTGGCTCAGAGCAGAGGCCACCACGGCCAACCTTGATGCATCCAGGGAGTACCTCTACTCACCGTGGCCTGGGCAGCAATGAGTGCTGCCAGCATGCTGCGGCCAGGGGGCCCTGGGGCACAGAAGGATACTCGAAGGTGGCTGCCCCCCAGAGCCAGGCCATCTGCCCGCTGCTGAGCTGCCTCGGCCATCTCTGCCGTCTCGTACTCCAGCACTGCAAAACCCTTCAGCTGCCCGTCCTGGCCGCAAGCCAGCTGTGGGAAGGGTACTCATGAGCACCAGAAAAGCAACTGCAGTATCCCAGGGTCACCTATCATGGGAAGTGATCACAGATACCGCCCCTGATTGCTACAGTGAGCCCTGGCAGAGGGTGTATGCCTTGCCATTCATTGTCCCCAGCCTTGCATGTGGTATCTGTTCATGGAATCCACTCAGTGACCCAAAAGGTCAGCACACCCAAGGTCACATGGCTGGCAGGAGAGTATAGCCAGGGCCCCCCAACCCAGGGTGATACTGTGGGGACCCCGACTAACTACACTGGAGATGTCCTCTGATAGGGACTCCCTGGTGCATCAGATGAAGTGCGGAGTTGGGAGGGTAGCTGTGGAGTGTGCCTTGAACACAAGCCCCAGGCCACAGACCCTGCAGCAGGAGGCTATCTAGGAAGGGTGGATTGGCCAGTTAGCCAGGACATACAAGCTAGAGTTCAAGGCTGATCTTGCCAGGGGGCAGGGAGGTCATTGTGACAGTGAGGGAAAGGAGCTAGGTACTACAACTGCACTCAGGCTAGACCACCCCATCAGGTCCCTCCACAGTACCCCTACCATTTGTTGGGCCTAGAGCCCTAACCAGAGGCCCAGGCTAGAGATACTCCAGAAGTAAGGTTAGACAGGTTAGACCAGTTTAATGCTGCCCACTTAATTTTGTTTTTAACTTTTTCTGTGTGTGTGAATATGTGTGTGACCTCTCCCTGAGCCTGGGGCTCACGTTTTCTTGGCTAGGTCACAAGCCAGCAAGTCACAGTGATCTTCTCGTCTCTATCTCCCAGTGCTGGGATTCCAAGTGTGTATATGACTAGGCATGGCTTGTTACATGAGCATCCGAGCCAGGATTCAAACTCCAGCCCTCATCAAACGTCCACCTTTAATCCCAGCATTCAGGGAGGCAGAGGCAGGCAGATCTCTTTGAGATCAAGGCCAGCCTGGTCTACATAGTGAGTTCCAGGCTGACTGGGGCTACAGTGAGACTTTGTCTCAAACAAAACAAAACAACAAACTCCAGTCAAATGTTGAGGGCTCTTAACTGCTAAGCCATCTTTCTGAATAATCCCTACACTGTGTTTCATGCATTAGTCACCCTGGGGTGACCTCTGTCCTGGGTAACTCTCTGTACCTTAAACACCCAAATTACTTGCTTACTTGCAGAAAGACATAAAAGGTCACAACCCACATTGGGTTAGAGCAGGTTCTGCCATCCCCTCAAGGAACCCATCTACTAGTTTTCAGGGAATCTGGAGTGCTGGAACTGTGGGTGGGGGCTGCCCCAGGGTCACGGCCGTTGTGATCGTACCCAGAACTGCCCGAAACCAAGGGACTGCCCCATATAACCACAGGCTGGTGACTGCTGGGGTTTCCACATCACATAGGCAGTGCCCCCTTCCTAACTCTGCAGAAGGCAAAACAGGTTCAGAGAGAGGTAAACCCTGAACTAGGCTACTGAGAAAGCACAGGGATCAGATGAGGCCCAGATGGGAACAGAGATAAAGAATGTATAAAAATACCAGAACAGGCCTAGTGAGATGACTGAGTGAAGGAGCTTGCCACCAAGCCTAAGGATCTGAGTTCAATCCCTGGGACCCACATGGTAGAAGAAAAAACCCAACAAATAAAAGAAGCTTTGGAACACCCTTATACAAAAGTAAAATCTGCCAGGCCGGGCGTGGTGGTGCACACCTTTAGTCCCAGCACTCCTGAGACAGAGGCAGGTGGATCTCAGTGAGTTCCAGGCCAGCCTGGTCTACATAGTGAGGTCAGCTGGGGCTACTGGGAGGCTGTGTCTCAAAACAACAAAGAAGTGAAATCTGCCTTACCAAGTTACCTTTGCTGTGTTTACATGTTCTCTGTGAGGCACTGACATGGTTCTTAGACTGATAGATAGGGTTTTATTTATAACACCCTTTAGTTACTTAGATCTTAAAAAGGAGATACTACCTTAATTTAGCAAACTAAACCGTTTCTTTTAGACCATTAAGTCTTACACATTAAAGAGCTAGAGATACAAGCTCTCTGTCTCCTACTCTTTGGCACGCCCAGCTCTCATGTAACAGTGCTATGTGTGTACATGATAATTCTTTTCATGTACTGTTTGTGTTGACAATCTTTGAACTGTGGCCACTTGTTTTTCTCCTTTCTCATACTGTGCACAAGAACTATTGGTTTTAATTCTGGCATGTCTAATCAAAATACATATGTACAGATTTATAAATATTTTCATGATATATTCAAAGGCCTTATAAACTTGGGTACCCTAATTATTAAAATCTATTAAACAGTGTCTCTAGGTCTATTAAGTGTTGCACTAAACTTTCAAATGCTAATTGCTTATACAAAACAGCACCTAACCCTGCTGTGTAAAAATCCTATGTATTAAATACCTTTTTTTGGTTTCAGTTTGTTTTCAAGGTGTTTTAAGGTATCCATTTTGTTTGCATCAAAGATGTTTTGGTTTAAAAAATAACAAAAACCATATTCTCAACAAAGAGTAATTACAAAATCTTAGTTACTAAAATTTATCTTAAGTCTCATACAAACTAAAACTGTTAAATTAACACAAAGATATTTGTTCAGGTCAAAATGTAATCTTTCAGCTGGGTGTGGTGGCGCACACCGTTAATCCCAGCTCTCGGGAGGCAGAGGCAGGCAGATCTCTGTGAGTTCAAGGCCAGCCTGGTCTACATAGTGAGTTCCAGGACAGCTGGGGCTACAGGGAGACCCTATCTCAAAAAAACCAAAAAAAAAAAAAAAAAGTAATCTGTCTTTTTTTTAATTTTTATTTTTATGTATGTGAGTGTATTGCCTGCATATAAGTAAGTGTGCCTGTGTTGTGCAATGCAGCAGAGGTCAGAAGAGGGTTTCAGAGTCCCCTGGAACTGGAGTTAAGGATGGTTTGTAGCCACCATGTGGGTGCTGGGAATCGAACTTGGGTCCTCTGCAAGAGTAGTCAGCAGTCCCAAAATGTAATCTTTTTGGGGGGTCTTTTTTGAGACAGGGTCTTCCTGTAGCCCCAGCTGTCCTTGCTGGCCAGGCTGGCCTTGAACTCACAGAGATCCACCTGCCTCTGCCTCCCAAGTCCTGGGATTAAAGGCGTGCACCACCACGCCCAGCTTCAAAATGTAATCTTTTTAATCCTTATCTACAATATGGTTCCTAGTACTTAAACAAATGGTAAATTTGTTTGTGAACATTACCCTGTCTCAAAAAGCAACCCCCCAAAAGTTTATTGAAAGTCTGAGCAGGGTTATAGCAGTTTCCCTTAAGTGATTGTGCTGGAGGCTGTGAACTTCAATTTGATAATGTTTTGCTATGTACCAGTTGCTTCTCTCTACCTAGTGTTTACACCCCTTCAAAAACTAAAGCAAGGTTTGGGTAGACCACTCTCTGAACTACAGGAAGTAAAATAATTATTAAGTGTTTTGTGTTTTCTGTGAGGTTTACCTGGGGCCTTATAAAGCCCAGTGTGCACACAGGTAATATTACTTAATTACATTATCTTATGTAATTTGGATTCCATGTTCTTTTAATAAGATGATGATGATGCACAGCACTCTTCTGAGTCAAATAACTGTCATCTTCATGACTTCGGCTGTGCCTTCTTGCAAAAGATCATCACAATTGGGTTTGTTGACTGTTGCACTCCTTCATTAAAGGAGGGGTAAGCAGGGTCATTGGCCCCTCACCTGATTATCCTGCCATTCTTCCCAGCCAGCTGTATGTAATTCTGACCAATTGCAAAAGGTCTCCTGAATTTGGGGTATTTTTTTGGTCTTTTTGAGACAGGGTCTCTCTGTAGCCTCAGCTAGCCTTGAACTCACAGAGATCCACCTGCCTCTGCCTCCTGAGAGCTGGGATTAAAGGCATGCACTACCACGCTCAGCTGGTCTCCTGAATTTGGGAAGGCTAGGAAGAGGGTTTTATGACCCATGAGATTATAAAAAAGTCAACATCCATGCTAGGTAAAGGCTTTCTTTTTTTTAATTTTTAATTCTGGGTAAAGGCTTCCCAATGCAAGTACTCTCAGGCCACCCATAACCTCAGTAACCCCTCCCTTATCTCTGTAAGTAAACTCAGTAAACTCATTGGTTCCCCAGGGTGAATTTTAATGTACTCAAACATTGGTTTGAAATTAGAACCTTAGAAAGGGATAACCATTGCTTGGTATCCCCAGGAAAGGAATTCTCACATAGAAGATAAAGGTATAGATAATCTTAAAATTTCCAAGTTCATAGGTTCAGTGAACTAGTTTAAGGAACAAAATACATGTCTTGTCAAGGTTTATCTGAAATCGTTTGGTTTTGCCAAAGCTTTATCTACATATTACATGGTAATTAAAAGTACCAGACTGGTGTAACTAGCCTTCTTGGGTGTTTAATAACCATATTTCGAGGCCTATAATAATCTGGTCAGAAGGACAAAAAGGGACAATTTTTGTTCCTTGCCCTCCAAAGTCTACTAAGTCCCAGGGGACTATGGAGCATTTCTCAAAATGTCCTGTAACTGTGGTAAGTCACCTGTCCTCTTGTCCAGGGAGGCCATTGAGAACCCATCAGATAGACTTGAACCAGTGTCCACTCTACCAAAAGGAGGGTCAACACAAAGAGAATGTTTCCTCCACGCTTCCAAGTGAAGCCAGCCACCGTCAAGCAGGACCTTTGATTTATCCTCACATAGATGTAACTGGTAAAAGAAAGGTCTAAGGAGCCAGAGGCTCCTCCCAAGCCTATGTGACCCCTGAGGAACAGATCCTCAACTGACCCTAAGAATAAAAATAAACTGGTTTATTTGAGCCAACCACATGGTCTTAAACACCCAACAGGAAAGTATAACCAAAGAGTAAAATAACTGGTATATTTCTTTAAGAGTCTAAAGGACTGAACTTCCCAGACATTAGGCTTAAGTTCATGTAAGATACTATTTAGACAATTTCTCACTAATGATTTTGTTCCTAATAAGAAAATGCTGCTCAAGTATAAGACTTC